CATTCTCCAGGAACAGTTCCGCTGTGCGTTGGGCTGAGGGGAGACCCGGAAGGGCGATGAAATGGACAGACTTGGAAAAGCGGTCCATAACCGTCATGACAGTGTTGAGGTTATTGACCGGCGGGAGACCCGTGACGAAGTCCAGCCCCACGTGGGACCAGGGGCGGCTGGGCACCGGAAGAGGTCGGAGGGCACCAGCCGAGGCCTGGTTGGGGTTCTTGGAGCGGGCACAGACGTCACAGGCGCTGGTGTATTCTTTCACATCCCTCGCCATGCCTGGCCACCAGAGGGATCGCTGGAGGAATTTAAGAGTTCTGGAGAAACCAGCGTGGCCAGACAGGCGTGATGAGTGGGCCCAGGACAACGCCTCGCTGCGACAGGCCGTGGGGACATAGAGGCGACCCGCGGGGGTCTCTGGAGGCGCGGGGTCGTCCCGGAGGGCGTTCTGGATAGCTTCCTCCAACGGCCACCTCAGTTGGCCCAGGAAGCGGTGTTCCGGGAGGATTGGCGCTGGCTCGGACGAGGGCGTGGAGTGGGTGAATTGGCGGGAGAGGGCGTCCGCCTTCTGGTTCTTGGCTCCCGGGCGGTAGGCGAGATGGAAGTCGTAGGGTTCAAAGAAGAGGGCCCAGCGAGCCTGGCGAGGGTTAAGCTGCTTGGCAGATTTAATGTGGGTCAGGTTCTGATGGTCAGTCCAGATCGTGAAAGGCCGAGTGGTGCCCAGAAGCCACTGCCTCCATTCCTCCAATGCCCATTTTATGGCCAGTAACTCACGGTCGCCCACACCATACTTCTGCTGGGTGGTGGAAAACTTCCTGGAGAAGTAGGCGCAGGGATGGAGCCTGTCGTCGGGCCCGACTTGAGACAGGATGGCGCCGGCGCCGACGTCAGAGGCATCGACCTCGACCACAAAGGGAACTGCAGGATCTGGATGGCGGAGGATCGGGGCCGAGGTAAAGCGGGTGACCAGGTGGCGGAAGGCCCGAATGGCGTCGGGAGTTAGACGAAACAGCTGGCCAGGGGAGCCTGGTCGAGTGAGAGAGGTGAGAGGGGCTACGAGGGTGCTATAGTTCTTTATAAAACGGCGGTAAAAGTTGCAGAAACCCAGAAAACTCTGCAGTTGTTTCAGGCTGGTTGGCAAGGGCCAGTCCTTCACCGCCTGGATTTTCTGAGGGTCCATGGTTATCCCTTCGTCCGAGATCCTGTAACCCAGGAAGGATATGGACTGCTGATGGAAGGAGCATTTCTCGGGTTTACAGTACAGGTTGTGGTCCAGGAGTCGGGTCAGGACGGCGCGAACATGATGGATGTGTTCGGCCTCGGATTTGGAGTAGATCAGTATATCGTCCAGATAGGCGAACACCCACCGTCCCAGCATGTCACGGAGGACATCATTAATGAGACGTTGGAAGACAGCAGGGCTATTGCATAGTCCGAAGGGCATAACCAGGTACTCCCAGTGGCCGGTGGGTGTTATGAACGCGGTCTTCCACTCATCCCAGGCCTTTATACGGACCAGATTGTAGGCGCTCCGGAGATCCAGTTTCGTAAAGATCTGTGCCTGGGAGATGGCATCCAGAGCGGTAGTGAGGAGCGGCAGAGGATGGCGGTCCTTGACCGTGATCTTGTTCAGACCCCGATAGTCTATGCAGGGGCGAAGATCGCCTTCCTTTTTCTTCACGAAGAAGAAGCCAGCGGCACCCGGAGAGGAGGAGGGTCGGATGAACCCCTGCTGGAGGGCCTGGGCGATGTATTCTTCCATCGCTTTGGTCTCGGGAGGCGCGAGAGAGAAAAGGCGCCCGCGGGGAGGACTGGTTCCGGGTAGCAGCTTGATCTCCATATCATATGGCCGGTGAGGTGGCAGGGAGGTGGCGCGCCGCTTGTCGAACACCGCGGCCAGGTCCCGATAGGGCAGCGGCAGGTGGGGCGGTGTGGAGCCGGGGCCCCCGTCCGGAAGACCCGCCGAGGATGGAGGAGGAACGAGGTGGGTCTGGCACGAGGTCCCCCAGCCCAGCAGGTGGTTCTGGGACCAGGAAATATGAGGGTCGTGGAGACGGAGCCAGGGGAACCCCAGGATTAGAGGAGAAGAGGGAGCAGAAATGACCAGGAAATGGAGGGTCTCCTGGTGGCCTTGGGTGATCATACGGAGTGACTGGGTTCGGTCTCGGACTGGGTAGGGTTGGAGAGGCCTACCGTCCACCGAGGTCACTGGTATAACTCTCTCCAGGGGTTGTAGGGGGATCCGTAGGCGTTTTGCCAGATCTAGGTCCATGAAATTGTCCGCGGCCCCCGAGTCCACCAATGCGTTTACGTGGAGTGAGGCCTCACCATGGAGGAGGGTGACAGGAATAAGGAGACGGTTAGTAGCGACAGGGGTAGAAGAAGACCCAGACTGAGCGACCCCAATACTCAGTGGGGCCTCCCGTTTCCCGATCGTAGCGGGCAGTCCAGGCGTCGGTGGTCGGGAGAGCCACAGTAGGCACAGAGGCCCTCGCGCCACCGTCGTTGTCTCTCCTCGGGGGGAAGGTGGCCGAGCTGCATGGGCTCCTCCGCCAGCATGGGTACAGGAGCTGGCGTGGGTGAACGAGGGCGAGGCACCGGCGTCCTGGGTGGACGCGTGGATAACTTGGGTCGAACCAGAACCCGCTGGTCGATGCGCAGCGCCAGATCAACCACCTCATCCAGGGTCTGAGGCAGCTCCCTTCCCGCCAACTCATCACGGATGTAGGGTGCCAGCCCCTCCAGGAAGGCGGCCCGCAGAGCGCAGTCATTCCACTGCAGCTTGGCGGAGATGGTGCGAAACTCCGACGCATAAGCGCACACCGAGCGTTCTCGCTGGCGGAGTTTGAGAAGGCGTGTCTCTGCTCCCACTTCGCTGCTGGGGGGAACAAAGGTCTTCCGGAGAGCGGACACAAACGCAGCATAGTCGTTGCAGGCAGGGGATTTGGAATTGTAAAGCGCAGCAGCCCACTCCGCGGCGCGTCCGGAGAGCAGGGAGGTGAGATGCGCCACTCGGGAGCGCGCAGATGGGTAGCGTCCAGGTTGGCACTCGAACTGCATGTCCAGCGTGGCGAGCAGACCATCGGGGCTCCCCGTCTCCCCGTTCCACCTCTCCGGCAGGCTGAAGTGGGGCTCCTCCCTAGGAGCAGAGCGGGTTGGCTGCTGGAGTGCAGCGATCTGTTGCTGCTGATCGTTTGCCTGTTGTTGGAGAGCCGTGAGAGCCGTGGATAGACGCAGGGTGTGGTCGGACAAGGAGTTCACCTTGGTGTTGAGCTGATCTACCATGGAACGCAGCTGCACGTTCTCGTGGCGGAGACGATCGATCTCCGTCGAATCTACTCGGATCTCAGTCATCCTGTCAGGCTGATCAGACTGGATGAAGGAGACGAACAAGGTGAGACGTTTAACAGTTTTATTATCACTCTGGTCGTATCTCTCTGAAGAAGAAACGATGACTGAGATGAGAAGCCGGTCACGGCGTCTTCCATATATAGCCTTGCTTGGCTGTGACGTGGAGGGAATCCCCGCGAGGAGCACGCTGGGAGCTCCCCACGAGGGGCATGTCGGGAGTTGTGGTCCGAAGGTCAGCCGGGAGATACCCGAGTCCTGACAATATCGAAAAATTATCGTCATTGGGATAACAGGACGTGCGATAGGCCCATCGCAAAACACGGCAAAAACAGCGATAAATGTTTGGTTCAAACATTTCCATCCATGTCATACATCAGCTTTTTGTAAACCAGCTCTCTTTTTTAAGCGGAAGTATTATTTGACCAATCAAATGTAGTCCTTCTGATATGCGGCCAATCAGATGGTTCCCTTCACATAATATGCCCGCCCCCTACATAAACCCTTTTGGAAAGCAACTCCCAAACAGTTTGCGGTGCCATTCCCTTGTTTGTCATGCTGGCTCAGAGCAACGAACGCACTTTTTGCTGAGGTTTCTGGATTCAGCGCTGCTTTCAAACATGAACGTGACTCCGCTCGGTGTCGTTAATCATTTTTACCGGGCTGACTCCGACACATGCTGGTGAACCATCCCACCATCATGTTGCTAGTGTTAGCCCCAGGCTCCGGTTAGCTTCCAGCTAAAAGGCTACAGCACTCTCCTCCCAGTCCCACCCTGCTAAAGAGGGCCTGGAAAAGTTCCTCCACACATCAAAGTGATTTTTCATTTATGAGCTTTTATAACCTTGTTAATCAGGATAGTTGATTTGCTGCTGCACATAAACTCTCATTCAGAAGCTCTGCTAGCCTGTTATCTTAGAGGAGCTAGTTCAATTTGTTAGCTTGTTATCAGAATCATAGTTGCAGTTTCATCATCTGAGCTGCTTTTTAAGATCTAGGTAAACTTGTTCAATTTGGGGTTAAAACCAAATATTTTCACATATTTTCCATGTAGTTTTTTTGCCAGTTCCTCTTCTGAAAGGTAGACAATTGTTTTTCTCTTTCCCTCAGAAAATCTTAATATTCTCCTAGTTTGGCCCAGCACAGTTCACTTCCCAATTACAGCAACAGCCTTATATCATAACCACATAAGTGGAGAAAATGCTCAGCAGCCATGAGAGAATTTGCTGTTGCATGTAAGTGATGTTAACTATTATTTAACATTTAAACTTATTTTCTGATTTTATTTATTCAAAAACCCTGGTAAGGAATATTTTTCTGTATTTGGAGCATCAGAAAAAGTTTTATGGTGGAGGTGATGTTTTAAAGTCACTGAGAAACTGCATGCATGCAGTTTGTTGTTTTGCTGCTAATACAGTAGCAGGTGCAGCTGCATATTTTTGCAATAAAAATGTTATGTTGTAATGAAATTCATGCATTAGTTTTTGTTTGCTTTGAACCCAGAGCAGACGTCACACGCCAGACGACATCAACACTACATACTTTAGTATTTGTTCATTTATCGTGAGTAATATCGAATATCGCAGGTTTTCCTAATATCGTGCAGCCCTAGTTTAGCACAACCTCTGATATATATTTTATAGCCTGTATTCTAGCTGCACCTCAGCACTACATGTGTGTCTTAAGAAGATAAATAAAAGGTGTGACTAATTGTGTTGCATAATCTGGATCAGCGAGTTGTGATGGTGCTGAAGCCCCAGAGTGAACACATACCTGTAGGAAGGCCAGGGTTTGGGTCTGATTCAGCAGACGGTGGATCTCCTCTTTAGCTTTGTTCATGTTATCGACATTGTCAGTGAATTTAGCCATGAGGTCTTTGATTTTGGTCTGCCCCATCTCCACCTCTCGGTCGACAGCTTTGAGGACTTCACACTCCTCTCTGGCCAACATGGCCTTCATGTGCTGGTACTCAGCTAATACAGCCTTCTTCCTGGTGGTGGCGGAATCCTGAGGAGGAAGACCAGACCAAAGGATTATTATTTATTGTCACACGATGGTTCAATATAACTGGTATTTCTTCCTTTATCCACTGAGCAAATCACATGAATATAATATTAATTATTCTATGATGCACAAATTATTTAAATCTAATATTAAGTTTTTTGTAAGAAAAATGCATTTTAAATTTTTTAAAGCGCACTGACTTTATAGTAGTTAAAGCACCTTATGAATAGAGTTGGGACAAAATGTTTTTGATTAGTAAATTCTGTTTTGCTTAACCGATACAAACCTGCAGCTTTCTCTCCACTTCGCTGATCATCGATAAAACCGTCTTGTTCCGTGAAATCTTCCCATCCAGTAAACCTATCTTGGCTCTCAAGTCAGTCTGTAGAAAGAATAAAACATGAACAAGAATTAAAGGACTGACAGATGTTAATATTTAAACCAGCTATAAAACAAATTAGCAAAAGTTTATTAATTTGCCTGTTTTCCCAAGAAATTCACATGAAGGAATACATTATTTAAAAAAGACCAGTAAATAATGTGCATGTAGACAATTAAATACTTTTTTAACCATAATTGAGTCTACACTTTAATTCTAGGTGTAGTGTTAAACATTAGACCTCTTTCAGGTTCCTCTGCTCCTCAAGTGAGGTGTAGCTGCAGCCTTTGTGGACCTGCTGCAGACAGAAGCTGCAGATCAGACGCGCGTGTTTGGTGCAGAAGAGCTCCATCAGCTTGTGGTGGTCGGGGCAGATGTGCTCCATCAGGTCCCCGACGGGCTGACTCAACTGGTGGAGGCGGAAGTTGGGGTTCTCCCGGTGAGGCCGCAGGTGCTCCTCACAGAAGGAGGCCATACAGGTGAGGCAGGTCTGAGCCGCCTCGGCTTCCATACAGAAGTCGCAGCGGACGAGAAGGTCCCCTTTGGGTTCGCTCTCCGAGAGCGCCTCACCCTTGGAGGACCTGCCTTTGAATGTGTCCACCACGGTGCTGAGGACCGTGTTCTTCTTCAACTCCGGCTTGGTGGCGAACAGGGTCCGGCACTGCGGGCAGCTGTAAGAGTCCTTCCAGGTGGCGAGCAGACAGTCGTGGCAGAAGTTGTGTCCGCAGGGGATGGTGACGGGACAGTCGAAGGTGCTGAGACAGATGCTGCAGGTCAGGTCCTCCTCTAGACTCAGCAGAGAAAGCTTAGACTCGTCCTGTTCCGCCGCCATCATGGACCTGAGAAACGAAACTTATGGTGAGAGAGGAGCTCGAAAACGAAACTACGTTTCGGTTTGTTTCTGAGCAAAAAAACAACTCGTTTATATTATTATATCGCATCCAAATTAGAATGTTATTAATAATTACTAATTATTAATGTTGTTATTAATAAATTCACAAACTATTAGTGTTAAAATAGTTTAAACGCAAAGCGCGTTGAATTTTTAAAAACGTGGACCAACAATCGGATTAAAATACCTCACCTAAAATTCTCTGTATGCGGGAAAAACAGAAATAAATCAGCTGCGATTTCTAGGTAAACCTTCCCAGACCCGAATGTTCCCGCATGAGTTCGCCGACCCGTTTTAAAGCAACAGTCAGCTCGAACTGGGGCCAGTCTACTTCCTCATTCATTCGAGTGCTGCTGCGTCACTGGATTTCAAAATAAAAGCCGCCAATTATTGAACACGTCGACATACGTACTCACCTAAAGGATACTAACAGAGGCGGATTTTGCAATTTGGGGGGCCAAGGCGAACACAGACATGGGGCCCCTTACACAAAATTTTCAACAATCTTACATTATACTGGATTAGCGACTCTCCCCTCTTCCGACATGAGTTATTTTCCCTTTTTATTAGTCCTCCTCTTTTTTCATGTATTTCCCTCCTTTTGAGTGCTTTCAATATTTGCTCTGCTTTCTTTTTCCTGTGCTTTTGCCTTTGTTATTTTTTTCTATTTTCCATTTTGGTTTGTTTTCCTCCCTTTAAACATTTTCCATTGTCTTTCCTTTCTGCTTCCTTTTGATGTTTACATAGAAAAACAATGTCACTTTCAGAAGTGGAAAATAAAAGCTTTTATGAAGCGTGCTGCTTCTTTCTCTTATTGGAGCCACCAGGATAACTCCATTTCATGCTTAGATTTGACTATCGTTTACAGTTTGTTACGAATGCTCCCACCTCTCCTCTTCTTCTTGTTTGTGGTCTTATGGCACTTGGCAACAAACCATTTGGTGCATTACCGACACCAACTGGATTGGAGTGGAATGACTACCAATCACTTCCTGTTTGTGCATCGCCGTCTTAATAACCCTCTTATGACCATAATTATAACAGGGCCGCCTGTTTTTTTTTATTATCTTGTGGTTGTAAAATTGTAATAAAAAGTACAAAGTGTGTGTAACTCTTCTTTTTTCAGAACAACCTCAGCTTTCAGTGTATGGTTTGTATTTAGAATTTATTTCTATTAAAGCCTTTAAAAAATCAGCTTAAAAGTGAAAAAAGCAAAAAACGGATTTGAATTTTTTTTACATTTATTACTGAACAGGAACTTCAAAATGACTGGGCGAACAATTTGGAATGAACAATTTAAACTTAGAACTGTAATGCATCTATTCTTAAAAAAGTGTGAACCTTGGTATCTTTTTTTTAGCAGTTTTAAGACCATTTATTTGTGTAAACTTTCAGACGTTTTTGTTTGGTGTGGTAGACCTTGAAGCAGTTTCTCTCCAGCTGCAGGCAGTCCTACACACCTCACACTGCCATGGGGTGCTTCTCTTGCACACCGTGCACTGCTATACCAAAAACTTTTGTTTTAGCAAATATAATTATTTATTGTAAAAAGATAAATCATTCTGGAATGAAGCTGAATCTTACAATCAGCAAATAGTTGAGGGTTGTTCAAATAAAAATATAAAGACTGAACAAACGTTCATACCCTGGTTCACTGGAGATCTGTCCTTCTTCGTGGTCACTGACTTCAGATATAAGCCTTCTGGGACACCTAATAGATCGTATTGATTTTCTTTGAGGCATTTCCATAATTTCATGCTGGTTTTTAGCTTCCCCGTTCCGTTATCCGCTTTCACCGCGGCGCTGCGCTCCGTTTCAATTAGGCTGTACAGCAAGAGTTCCCCTAGCGATATTTTGCATAACTCTGATTGCTTCATGCTATAGATCATTGGAAAGCTGCTTTTATGTACTTTTAGGAACCGTTGGAAGTTTTTGAATCTGATCAGCCATTCAAAAGTTATAAAACGGAGCATTTTGGATGACAAACTCAGCACGTCTCTGAATCTGTGTTGTGATTCGTTGCGCTCAGGACAGGGAATCCCGGTGGCTACCGTAATGTATTGTATATGCACGAAAAACCCCATTTGTAAACTTTTCAGCACTTTTGGAATTTTAATGATATCTGGAACGGTTCAGGAATTATGGTAACGAGAAACATGTCCAATCCCGTCTGCGGCGACAGGTTGGCAATAAGAATATTGTGGCATTAACCGAGGGGTGCCGGCGGTCAGGGCTAGGAGGCCCCCCAACACAAGGGGGCCCCAGGCGGCCACCTACCTATGCCTAATGGTAAAACCGCCTCTGGATACTAATACAGTGTTTGACCCCCTTTCGCCTTCAGAACTGCCTTAATTCTACGTGGCATTGATTCAACAAGGTGCTGAAAGCATTCTTTAGAAATTTTGGCCCGTATTGATAGGATAGCACCTTGCAGTTGATTGAGATTTATGGGATGCTCATCCAGGGCATGAAGCTCCCATTCCACCACATCCCAAAGATGCTCTATCGGGTTGCGATCTGGTGACTGTGGGGGCCGTTGTAGTACAGTGAACTCATTGCCATGTTCAAGAAACCAATTTGAAATGATTCAAGCTTTGTGACATGGTGCATTATCCGGCTTGAAGTAGCCATCAGAGGATGGGTGCATGGTGGTCATGAAGGGGTGGACATGGTCAGTAACAATGCTCAGGTAGCCCGTGGCATTTAAACAATGCCCAATTGGTACTAAGGGGCCAAAAGTGTGCCAAGAAAACATCCCCCAAACCATTACACCACCAGCAGCCTGCACAGTGGTAACAAGGCATGATTGATCCATGCTCTCATTCTGTTTACACCAAATTCTGACACTACCATTCAAATGTCTCAACAGAAATTGGGACTCATCAGACCAGGCTACATTTTTCCAGTCTTCAACTGTCCAATTTTGTTGAGCTCGTGCAAATTGTAGCCTCTTTCCTGTTTGTAGTGGAGATGAGTGGTACCTGGTGGGGTCTTCTGCTGTTGTAGCCCATCCACCTCAAGGTTGTGTGTGTTGTGGCTTCACAAATGTTTTGCTGCATTCCTCGAGTGTAACAAGTGGTTATTTCAGTCAAAGTTGCTCTTCCATCAGCTTGAATCAGTTGGCTCAGTCTCCTCTGACCTCTAGCATCAACAAGGCATTTTCGCCCACAGGACTGCTACTGGATGTTTTTCCCTTTTCACACCAGTCTTTGTAAACCCTAGCAATGGTTGTGTGTGACAATCCCAGTAACTGAGCAGATTGTGAAATACTCAGACCGGCCCGTCTGGCACCAACAACCATGCCACTCTCAAAGTTGCTTAAATCACCTTTCTTTCCCATTCTGACATTCAGTTTGGAGTTCAGGAGATTGTCTTGACCAGGACCACACCCCTGAATGCATTGAAGCAACTGCCATGTGACTGGTTGATTAGATAATTGCATTAAGGAGAAGTCGAACAGGTGTTCCTAATAATCATTTAGGTGAGTGTATACTGGACAATAATGTCCATAGGTTCCAATTATAAGTTTTTGTTTCCAAATGGGAGGTTCCCAGCACCGCCATTTTGACCATGTCATATATCTCGTCCCAAGCCCCCATAACCCTAGGATGAAAATGAAGCCACCATGGAAGTGGCAACAATTGCTGTTTCACCCTCATCTGCTAGGGGCTGGTGTCAGAAGTGAGCAAATCCTCATTGACTCCCATGTTAAAAATACCAATTTCACAGCATAAATAAACATGTAGCCTGGTTCAAATAAACATTTTTTTTTATGTATTTATCAGACGCTTTTGTCCAAAGCGACTTACAAGTGATAATGAAGCCAGCAGGTTGCCCTTGAGGCTAACAAACAAACAAACACTAGTCAGTCAATCCTAGGTGGAAGTGAGGCAGCATAATGAATCATAAAGGGAAGTGAACAAGGAGTGGACAGTAGAGTGGGGGACGGGTGCAGCCAGGGAGGGTGCTAATTTAGAGTATGCTCTCTGAAGAACTGGGTCTTCAGGAGTTTCTTGAAAATCGACATGGACGCCGCTGTTCTGGTAGTGCTTGGTAGGTCATTCGAAGGATCTTTCATGGCGGTTAAAACGAAGAGTCGGAGTACCCGGCCCGGAGGGTTACCGGGGTCCCACCCTGGAGCCAGGCCTGGGGTTGGGGCCCGTGAGCGAGCGCCTGGTGGCCGGGCTTTCGCCCATGGGGCCCGGCCGGGCCCAGCCCGAACCGGATACATGGGCTCGTCCAACTGTGGACCCACCACCCGCAGGAGGAACATGAAGGGTCCGGTGCAATGCAAATCGGGTGGCAGACCAAGGCGGGAGCCTTGGCGGTCCAATCCCCGGACAAGAAAACTAGTTTTTGGGACATGGAACGTCACCTCGCTGGCGGGGAAGGAGCCGGAGCTTGTGGCAGAGGTTGAGCGGTACCGGCTAGATATAGTCGGACTCACCTCGACACATTGCATTGGCTCTGGAACCCGAGACCTGGAGAGGGGTTGGACACTCTACTTTGCTGGAGTTGCTCCGGGTGAGAGGCGGAGGGCTGGGGTTGGCTTTTTGTTAGCCCCGAGACTCTCTGCCTGTGTGTTGGGGTTTACCCCGGGGGACAAGAGGGTAGCTTCCTTGCGCCTTCGGGTCGGGGAACGGGTCCTGACTGTTGTTTGTGCTTATGGGCCAAATATCAGTTCAGAGTACCCACCCTTTTTGGAGTCCCTGGGACGAGTGCTAGATAGTGCTCCATCAGGGGACTCCATTGTCCTGCTGGGGGACTTCAATGCTCACGTGGGCAATGACAGCTTGACCTGGAGGGGTGTGATTGGGAGGAACGGCCCACCTGATCAGAACTCGAGCGGTGTTTTGTTATTGGACTTCTGTGCAAGCCGCAGTTTGGCCATAACGAACACCATGTTCGAACATAAGGATGCCCACCGGTACACTTGGTACCAGGGCAGCCTAGGTCACAGGTCGATGATAGATTTTGTAGTCGTATCATCTGACCTGCGGCCGTATGTTTTGGACACCCGAGTGAAGAGAGGGGCGGAGCTGTCAACTGATCACCACCTGGTGGTGAGTTGGATCAGATGGCAAGGGAACATGCCGCGTAGACCTGGCAGACCCAAACGCATAGTGAGGGTCTGCTGGGAACGCCTGGCAGAAGAACCTGTCAAGACGGTCTTCAACTCCCACCTCCGGCAGAGCTTTGACCACGTCCCGAGAGCAGTGGGGGACATTGAGTCCGAGTGGGCCTTGTTCCGCTCTGCGATTGTCGAGGCGGCTGTTGCTAGCTGTGGTCGTAAGGTGGCCGGTGCCAGTCGTGGTGGCAACCCCCGTACCCGCTGGTGGACACCAGAGGTTCGGGGAGCCGTCAGGCTGAAGAAGGAGGCCTACAGGGCGTGGCTGGTCTGTGGGTCTCCGGAGGCAGCAGACAGGTACCGGATAGCCAAGCGGGGTGCAGCAGTGGCAGTTGCCGAGGCAAAATCTCGGGCGTGGGAGGAGTTTGGTGAGGCCATGGAGAAAGACTATCGATCGGCTACAAAGAGGTTCTGGCAAACTGTCCGGCGCCTCAGGAGAGGAAGGCAGCAACTCGCTCACACTGTTTACAGTGGGGATGGGGAGCTGCTGACGTCAACTGGGGCTATAGTCGGACGGTGGAAGGAATATTTTGAGGAGCTCCTCAATCCCACCAATGCGCATTCCGAGGAGGAACCAGAGCTGGGAGGCCTGGGGATGGACTGTCCGATCTCGGGGGCAGAAGTTGCTGAGGTAGTCAAACAACTACACAGCGGCGGAGCCCCGGGGGCGGATGAGGTTCGTCCTGGGTATCTCAAGGCTATGGATGTTGTAGGGCTGTCATGGTTGACACGTCTCTACAACATTGCGTGGTCATCGGGGGCAGTTCCTAGGGAGTGGCAGACCGGGGTGGTGGTCCCCATCTTTAAGAAGGGTGACCTGAGGGTGTGTTCCAACTATAGGGGGATCACACTCCTCAGCCTCCCTGGAAAGGTCTACTCCAAGGTACTGGAGAGGAGGGTCCGATCGATAGTTGAATCTCAGATAGAGGAGGAGCAATGTGGTTTTCGTCCTGGCCGTGGAACTGTGGACCAGCTCTATACCCTTGCAAGGGTGATGGAGGGGGCATGGGAGTTTGCCCAACCAATCCACATGTGCTTTGTGGATTTGGAGAAGGCTTATGACCGTGTCCCCAGGGGCACCCTGTGGGGGACGCTCCAGGAGTATGGGGTGGGTGGCTCTCTGTTAAGGGCCATTCAGTCCCTTTACCAGAGGAGCGTGAGTTTGGTCCGCATAGCCGGTAGTAAGTCGGACCTGTTCCCAGTGAGGGTTGGACTCCGCCAGGGCTGCCCTTTGTCACCGGTTCTGTTCATCACTTTTATGGACAGAATTTCTAGACGCAGCCGTGGTGTGGAGTGTGTCGAGTTTGGTGGCAGGAGAATCTCGTCTCTGCTTTTTGCGGATGATGTGGTCCTCCTAGCTTCATCCAGCTCTGACCTTCAGCTCTTGCTGGGTAGGTTCGCGGCCGAATGTGAAGCGGCTGGGATGAGGATCAGCACCTCCAAATCTGAGACCATGGTTCTCGACCGGAAAAGGGTGGCTTGCCACCTCCGGGTCGGGGGAGAGGTCCTACCTCAAGTGGAGGAGTTTAAGTATCTCGGGGTCTTGTTCACGAGTGAGGGTAGGAGGGATCGGGAGATCGACAGGCGGATTGGTTCGGCGTCTGCAGTGATGCGGACGCTGAGCCGATCTGTCGTGGGGAAGAGGGAGCTGAGCCAGAAAGCCAGGCTCTCGATTTACCGGTCGATCTACGTCCCAATCCTCACCTATGGTCATGAGCTTTGGGTAATGACCGAAAGAACGAGATCGCGGATACAAGCGGCCGAAATGAGTTTCCTCCGTAGGGTGGCCGGGCTCAGCCTTAGAGATAGGGTGAGGAGCTCGGACATTCGGGAGGGACTCGGAGTAGAACCGCTGCTCCTCCGGATCGAAAGGAGCCAGTTGAGGTGGTTTGGGCATCTGGTCAGGATGCCTCCTGGACGCCTCCCCGGGGAGGTGTTTCGGGCATGTCCTGCCGGCAGAAGGCCCCCGGGTCGACCCAGGACACGTTGGAGAGGTTACATCTCCAATCTGGTCCGGGAACGCCTTGGGGTCCTGCCGGAGGAGCTGGTGGACAAGGCCGGGGAGAGGACGGCCTGGAGCTCCCTAGTTGGGATGCTGCCCCCGCGACCCGGACCCGGATAAGCGGAGGAAGACGAGACGAGACGAGAGACCCTCATCTGCTAGGGGCTGGTGTCAGAAGTGAGCAAATCCTCATTGACTCCCATGTTAAAAATACCAATTTCACAGCATAAATAAACATGTAGCCTGGTTCAAATAAACATTTTTTTTTATGTATTTATCAGACGCTTTTGTCCAAAGCGACTTACAAGTGATAATGAAGCCAGCAGGTTGCCCTTGAGGCTAACAAACAAACAAACACTAGTCAGTCAATCCTAGGTGGAAGTGAGGCAGCATAATGAATCATAAAGGGAAGTGAACAAGGAGTGGACAGTAGAGTGGGGGACGGGTGCAGCCAGGGAGGGTGCTAATTTAGAGTATGCTCTCTGAAGAACTGGGTCTTCAGGAGTTTCTTGAAAATCGACATGGACGCCGCTGTTCTGGTAGTGCTTGGTAGGTCATTCCACATCTGTGGAATGACACGTGAAAAGAGTCTGGATTGTCCTGAGAGTGGTGTAGGCACTGTTAGCCGACGATTCTTTGATGACGGGAGTGACCAAGCCATGACATAAGCCTTTGCAAGAGGAATCGGGTAGATGGAACTGTTACTGCTACTGCTAGCGATTTGACTCTGATGCCTTTAGGTTTAATAGATCTAGTTTACATTCATGACCAGCCACGTCGCCAGCCGATTTGGTGTGATTTTCCCGCTTATGTTCAGAGACGAGCCAAACCCCTCCTCCCCGTAACCAGATTATTTAATCCAGAAGAGGCCAAAATTCCTCAAACATATTTTCTCCTACTGGTGGAAATGAATTAAATCTCCCACAGAAATCCACAATTGACCAGCATGACTACAGCCTCACATCAGAGCCATTCAAATAACCCCACCCCCTAAGAATTCTAACCGAGCCAATCAGCGCTGAGCAGCATACGTCTCACACCCCGATGCTCAGTTTCTCATGAACAATGAAGACGGCGTCTGGAGCGGAGTTTGCTGCGGCTCTTTCCTCTGTTCTTTTCCGTTGCCAGACGCCATTTTTGACTACAGCGTCGCGCGGTACAGGTGGCATTTCCGCCTTTTTTCTGATTTGTTATTTTTGAGCTGGCTAGTCCCGCCCCTCATCTGCCTCTCTGCCTGTTAGTATCCAGACTCGTCTTCTGTGTAGAATTAAATAGAGGACAAGTCTGGCAAGCCAGTCTAGTGAAGCTGGGCACCTGCTCAAGTGTCTTATGCAGCTCCATTAACACGTTTGACCAAGCAGCTAAATGACACAGCACTTCCCCCATTCAACCAGCAAAATAAAGTACAGAAATATCATTTTGCTCAGTGATAAAAAAAAAGAAGCTCAAACTGCTTGAATGATCTGTTAGTAACCACAGCTTGCCCTCAGTGTCCAAATTATCCCAATTCTAACATTTCCACACTTGCGCCCTTCAATTGCGCAATCCTGGCCAGGGGTGAATACGTATGGTGTCCCAATTCTCAAGTGCAGAGGTTGATCATGCCCCTTTTGCATCATTGATTCGCACTTCACTCAAGTCTGCATTGATGCAGGCTTTTCTCCCTGAAAGTGATAGAGCCCTGAAACGGCTCATTCTGGATGGCACTGAAAATGTCATGAATATAACCTGAGATAGCTTTATGTGAGAGGGATTTTCTGCAAAAAACTTTACGAAAATGAACTATTATAACTTTATTTAAAAAGTTGCAATCTCCTTTAAAACATACCAAAAGTAAATTAGGTACTTTCTTGTTTATTGGAAATGTTTAAAGTCAAACAGAAATGATGTTGATACATAAAAGTTAGGAAGACTGATAAATCCTCGACTCCTTATGTGCATTTATACAAAACTGAAGCTAAGTCATTTTCTCTGAGCTCAGTTGCTGTTGATGTGAGGCTGTTCAGAGTTCTGGCTCTTCTTCTGGCAGCTGTTGGAGTTCTCATTCAACTGTTGAAGCTCCCTCACCATGCTCGCAAACTGCTCCTCCTGTAAGCACGGAGAACACACACCAACAAATTAACAACTAGGGATGGACAATATATTGACATCAATATCGGTATCGGCCGATGTTAGTCATTTTAAACATATCGGTATCGGTTCGATAAATAAATGCGGGCCGATATTGACAACCAATATTTTTCCATCTCTTCTCCATTTGTTTGCCTGTTTCAGAGGGTGAGGGGGGTGATGTGTGATTGTTTAGTCATGTGAACTGTGAATGAAATCATCTCAGAAGCGTAAATGTGTGTGATGTGTGTACATAATAATGTAAATTCAGCTTGAATGATTTTCATTCTATACAAAATCTGCTGATTTTAGAAGCATTAATGTCGGTATATTGGTATCGGCAAATATTGGTTATCGGCCATAACAGTGATCTTAATATTGGATATCGGTATCGGCCCAAAAATTTCACATCGGTGCATCACTATTAACAACCCAAACTATTATCCCTCCTCCCCCATGCTGACTGCTGGTTTCAGCTGTTTGTGCTGATTTTCTGGGTTAGGTTTCTCCAAATTTGCAGCAGTGCCATTTGGGTAAATATCTCTACTTTCATCTAATGTGTCCTAAGGACATTGCTTTAGAAGTTTATTTCTCCAAGCACGGTCTTCCTTGGGGGTGAACTTGCTGATTGCTGTCCGTCTCTGTTTTTCTTACCAGCACATTCATTCTTTCAGCTGCTGCAAGAGCAATATTTAGCTTCCTCTCATCTTCCTCCCTTTCTTCCTCAATCACACCCAACCTGCAACGGAGAGCAGCAGTAAACACGACAACGAAATCAAACCAGCTCATGGAGTCATCATTACATCAGTTCTCCAAGTTCTTTAATTTGTGTTCAGACTGGATCACCTGAAGGTGGCGCTGGCGAGCTGCTCGTCTCGCACAGCCAGCTGGTTCTGCAGCTCAGTGACCTCCCCCTGCAGCATTGCATTCTGGTCCTGAATCTGGATGATGAAGTCCTCCAGGCGCTTGGCCATGTCCAGTTCACGCTCTGTCACCTGCTCTATACCCAGACGGAGCTCAGACAGCTCCTGAGCATGCTGGGAGAAAGATAACGGCTTTAAGTGACTGTAACACTGAAGCCATGCTCTAATTGGTCAGAATGAGGTTGTTTTTTTTTCTGTTATTCTTGTTTATTTGTGGATGGATGATTTAACTCACCCTGTCCAGTAAGCTCAGCTGCTCATTCTGTATCTTCATTTTACCGGGCTCCCTGTTGGGATTCACAATCCACGGAACGGGTGCTGGAGGACTCTTGATGCTTACGCTCTGAGAAAACATTGTTTAATCACATTTAAAAAGTGAAACTGTTCATGTGTTTCACAGATAAATAAATGAGATCACTCACAGTTTTTGGTGGTGTGATGACTGGCTGGTTGGGTTCCACATCCGCTTGGTGTTCAGGCATTGGCAGAGCTTCAGAGCTCGTCTGCCTCCTCAGGGGTGGTTTAATGTGACTGTGAGGTCGGTGTGGAGCGCTCTGAGTTCTGGCCAGTGGTTTTCCCTTCATCATGTTCCTGTGAATCAGATATTTTATTTTGCGCACAAAAATCTGAGTCAGTCCTAAACAAAAAGCAAGCGTTCTGGAACACAAATACCAAATTATTGGTACCAACAAAAACAGAGGGTTTGGTAAATGGTGAAAGCTTCTTCAGACATCAGAAGAACTGGGAGGATCAAATAATATTTATTAAAATCAACAAATTTAAGATTATAAAAGAGACTTCATATAGCAAAAAAAAAACTTCTCTGAGTTAGTCTGGAATTCAACATGTTCAAGCGGTAACAAAGAGCTTGAGAAAACAAAACATGGTGACTAAAAATCTTGAAGCTAAAATCTCGAAGCTTTCACCTGGAAAACAAATTTTATAAAGGCCAATATTTTGAGTTTAAAGAGGGACTGCACACCATCAGAAAATGTAACTCCGCTCCTAGTCAAGATTTGAAAAATGCTATGAAAGTGGGCGTTGCCAGGAGGCACAGAGTGGCGTGGCCAAGTGTGGGGAATTTCCATCCTGGGTGGGAGTGGGAGTGGGCGGAGACTGTACTGATGATGTGAAATTGTACCAGCCCCAGTCAATCACAAGTTTAACATGCAGTAGCTGCTGTTCTGCCACAGGGGGCAGCACTAAGACGTTTTTAGACCTAGATTCTAGATTTAATCAAGTTTACGCAATAATGTCAAAAAATGCACATAAACAGAAAGATTGCATTTGTAAAGACCCAATAATACAGTTTATAAGCAAATAAAAGTTATTTGGGGTTTAGTTACTCTTTAATCTTAAAAAAGGACAAATTGGGGGAGGGACCAGAATAAAGAAAAGGGGGAAAAACATACGGAAAACAGAGATGAAAGAAGAAGAATTGGGAAAAAGAGAAAAGGGGAAGAAAACAGAATAAAGGAAAAACAGAAGAAAATAAAGAAAACAAGGAAAAATAACTAAAATAAAACAAGTCAAGTGTTTTATAAAAGCTATAGTTGGTTCTATTACCAAAGGAAATTCTTAACTTTCATTGATAATTTCATGTTCGGACCAAGAAATAGACAACCTCATTTAAATAATACACTTTGAGCAAATAAAATATAAACTTTCATACTAATAAATCATGTTTGATGATTGATTAAAATGAGCTATTTTAATCAAGATCAAGCTAGATTAATTCCAAGATTACAGTGAGATCAATCTAAAAAAATAAATCTATGCCCACCCCTAGTTTGAACATGAAGCAATCTTCTAAACTGACTTTAATGTTAGTGTGACTTTTTTGTGTTGTCTATGTGGATTTTATTATAAGTCTTTCTGCCTCAAATAAATAACAGAAATGTCCCAAAAGGTTTTCTTCAACTTTTTTAACCTGGTGTGAAAGTGAACGAGTTAAAAAAGGCGAGACAAATAAAATTGATCTTTTCCGTTTTAAAGGAAGGATCGGTGGAAGTAAATGTTAATTAAGTCTTGGGTGAAATAAGATGAAAAGGAGTCAAATAAATACGTTTTGAACAGACTTGGTTTTTTTCTTACCGGTCTCGATGGGCTTTGGGAAACATTGGCTGCTTCTTCACATCTTTGGGAGGAACGAATTCTGGTTTGGAACTTTCTGTTTGGCTGCAGAGAAGACACCGATTCAGTATCAACATGCACAAGACGATAATACACACTTAGACCGCTCACACACCTGTTAATAATGATCCGAGGGACTTCAGGACCCAGTGATTTTGTAATCTCATTCAGAATTGAAGGCAGAGGATGCAGCTTGTCAATCGTTTCCTGCAGAAGGACAGAAGAAAGTGTTAGTTCTCATACCAAAACACGATAGTCCAACCTGAGGACGTTCTCTGTCCTACCTGGTCTTTCTTATGGATGATGTCCACCAACAGCCCATGTAGCACGGCTAAACGCAGGGGCAGATCTACATATCCATCAAAAGACGTCATTGGGATTTCACTGTCCTCGTTGGACACCGTTTGCAGAAAACCCCTCATTCCGTCCCAGTGCTGCTGCAAGAAGTCATTCATGAACAACATATACTCCTCCTTCTCTCCAAACCTAGATGAGAACAAAAAATACATCAAAAACTCAATCCTGGAGTGTTTTGTGCAGATAAAAAGGCAAAAGAAGGTGCAGAAATAAATCCACTCACTGGGTGAAATTGGCCAAATTCTGGATGACTTTAGCGGTTAAGGTCAGGGTACGCAGTGTGTTCGTTTCTGGATAAGGTTGGATTAGACCAAAAAGGGATGGACTCAGAATAGCTGGACACAGGAAGCGAAGGAAGAGGGAAGCGGAGATGAGCCGCTGGCCAATTTCTGCTTTGCCCTGGTCTTCACACATTTCCATCCAGCTTGAGAAGATCTTGTTTAATTCTTCAGGAAAAAGTCTGTGAATGAAAAATGCATCAAAGGTTTATTTTTTTAATGTTTCTACTATAAATGCTTTATTCTTACCCCTGGATCTCTACGATCTTCTGCACCACCTCCTGACATGTTTCCCTCAGGTGTTGCTGGTTGCTTGAAAGCTCAGCAGGAGGACATTTACGAGGATCGACTTCACAGTTCTCGGCTGAATTGTAAAGTCGTTTGATAAAATCTCCTGCCTCACAAAAAGGGTTCCATTAGAAACCTATCGTTTAATGGAGGCCTACAGGCTTACCTTCAGCACCTTACCGAGGGTGTCGATGAGGTATCTCTGACCAACCAGCTTCATGTATTCATCGATGGCTTTGGTGGCTAAAGTGTTTTCTCTAAAGATCAATGCTTCTTTCTCCTCAAGCCGTTTGACTTCAGCTCTGCCCAAATCAAACAGGAATTCCTGAAAGCACACGTTTAGAGCCACACATACAAGACTGCTTCTCTTATAAAATCTGATTGTGTTATGGTCAATCCTGACCTTGGCTTTGCCGATACTCTGAAGTACATGGACCAGAGCTCTTGCCAGCTCTTCTTTCTCCTTCACATTCAGAAGTGGTTCCAGGTTTGGACACATCTCCACATAATCCACTGTCACATACTCTGCAAACTCCTTGTACTTCTCCATGGGCAGCACTTTCAGGTTCTGGAATCGAGCCTTGATGCGGAGAGAAGCCTGAGGACCCAGCTGCTCTTTGTTTCCTGCTGAAGTCTTGTGCAGAGTGATGAGGTACCACTTCTCCTTATAGGTCCTCCCTCGAATGTCAGATAGAGGGATCTCCACGCTGCCCAGTGGGTGCAGGTTTGACTCGTCTCTGGAGTGGCGCTTTTTTTTGGAGTCTTCCTCACGGAAAAGGTGGAGACTGATTTGAGAGACAGAAGGCAGGTTGTCGAGCTCGAAGAATTCACCCCAGAACAGTTGACCCCCTCCGGCTGCGCCTCCACCGGCCCCTGTGTTTCCCGATGACCCGGTGGAGTTGTCTCCAGCCATGCTGGAGCGGTTGGCTGCCTTTCCAACAGCTCGACTGCTAGTGCGAGCGAACAGGGTCCCATCCAGATGCATCTCGCAGTAGTAACTCCGTTTGGGTGGCAGATCCTTGGCTTCGTTAACCCACAGGCTCAGGGAGTTCTCTGTACGCTCAATGTTGTCCTGTGAACATTCACTCATCAGATGTTTGAATCAACTGTGTTCAGAGAATTTCTTTTTCACATGAACCGTTACTTTTACCTTATTGGGCTGGGCCGCCCGTCTCAGATCTTCAATCCATCTGTCACGTTCAGCAGCCGAAGAGCAGCCGAAGCAGTGGGTGTTCTCCGAATTTATCACCTGGACACGTAAATAGCATCGGAAAAGGAGTTTCTTGTTTTCTGGAAGGTCAGATATGTGTAACACCTCTTTGGGAACCTGTCGTTTACCTCAAAGCAGTACTTCTCCCCTAAGATGGAGCTGTGGACAGGCCTGATGACTGTGCTGGTATCGGCGCTCAGATCTACACCTTCCATCACCCTGACTGGAATTGATACTGACTCCCGGGAACCATACTCTCTAAATATTAAACACAACATACCATTGAATCCTTTTAATATTAAATAGTCACTTTATCACCAGAGCTCATCATCATTTTACTCTTAAACAAAATGATGAATTCATATGTCTAGTCAGTCAGAGTTGATAACTCCTTAAAGAAGGTTTGGAGTCCAATCAGTATCTGTAGGTGAGCTTCACCTGCTTAGTTTGTTCAGAGCCGGGTTCAGCTGGGTGGCACTGTTCCTTTTGGCCTTGTCAAGGCGTCGTTTGATCAGCGCCTGTGGGGTAAAGATGGCGGTCATGAGCCCAATTGTGTTTCATCAGGAGGAAATGACATGTTAGTGAAGGCAGTATGTGCCCTCACCCGTACACCACCATCCTGGTTCTTGGGTCGAGACCCGCCTGGCTGGCCCACGGGGTCGGGGCTACATTCTGAGGATTGAGGAGAAACACGTTAGCGTGACCAAAGAAAATGGATGGATGGAATTTTTAAGATTAACTGTCAGCAGTAATACAAATTTAAACCGATACTTTCATCTGTGGAAAATAAATTGTTTTACATTTTTGTTCCAGTGCAGCAGCTCAGAAAGAACTCATTTGGTCGTCTTTGTTAAGGAAAACAACAGAGTAGCATTATTAATAAATCAGCTCTACAGGATGTGGTTTTTCGATGAAGGCTGATGATTGCAGAGACGTACCTCAGTACAAAGTTTACTAAACTCACTAGAAGAAAGAAAAATAAGTCTGTTCCGCAAACATTTCCTCTTGTTCGTTTTTCTAAAGAACTTTTCAACATTAATACAGTTTAAGTAAAGAAGATATTTGAGATTATTATTAATCAGGTGTTGTCCTTTGCTTACCTAAAGCTCCTCCACAAACAATCCAGTGCCTAAATCCCATCATTTAGTTCAATGTCGTTTTACTTTAGGATTAGCTTCTTTAGCGTTTACTTCCTTTTTGCTGAGATCTGATGCTTCTGTCTGAGTGAACCAGTAGAATTAATGCAGAATTATCTTTTGAAAGCTTGAAGACAAGATACAGCCCCCCCCACCCCCCCCCCCACCCCCGCTTCCTTTCCTCTACAAGCTCTTATTGGACTGCTAGCGCACCCGGACACGACGCTATCTTCATCGTAGAGGAAGCAATTTGGTCGTCACCCCCGTGATTAAACACTTTGTTATTTCCTCTCTGTGCAGAAGTAAGATGTTGATGTCAGAAGGAAACATGCTCAGCATTGCTCAACTCCATCTTAAAATACTCCATATGCCAAGTTTTGTTTGTTTCTAATTAGGGTCATAGTGATAAATTATGTATCAAGTAACATAAAGACCATGTAAGGATTAATTAGTGTTGCAAAAATGAAAAATTTGAAGATTAAAAAAATGCATGAATGAATCGATCTGATAAAAAAAGGGTTGAAATCAAGGTTAAAATTAAAAAAAGTCAACACAATATCTCAATAATTCACTATGTCTAAGTCTAAAGATGTGAGCGAGCCCTATCGATTGGTCTTATCAAATGGAAAATGTAGGTGTGATTTTAACTGAAACAAGTGGGTCTGCTTCTTGAACGGGTGCAGGAAGTTGATTCCTGATAGCTCAACGCTCTGCCTCTGCTTCTCTGTGGATATTCACGAGTAAGTCTGCCTTGGACCTTTATTGTTTGAATGCTGTAGCAATTGTTTTCCTGTTTATCTTTATTGTTTGAATGCTGTTCAAACTATTGTTTTCCTGTTTATCTTTATTCTTCTGATTGTACTTCCGTACACTTTTTGAACCTTTTCAACTCCTTCAAATTTTTAACTATTTAAACAATTTTATATCAAAACGTTCAGCTCGTTAAGCTCTTTCCGACCATTACTTTTGGCATTGATATGATGCTTACTGTTATTAAGCTTTTTCTGCAAAATTTTTCCCAATGAAATGATTGGGATTGGTCAATTTTCAGCAAATTCCAATCACTTTTTTGACCTAAAACTCTTTTGGGTTCCCTTTAACTTAGAGACTTCATTCAAAGTTTAACAAACTCACAAGACTTTCTTATTTAACATATTAAAGAGGCTTTTTGATATCTTTTACGGTTTTTCTAAAATCGCAGGTAGAACTTGAGGGACGGCTTGAAATTTTAAGAAAATCAGTAAGAGGACTGCGCCAGCTTTCTTCCATTTAAACCTCTTATAAAGAAAAGGCATCTGTGGCCGACAGACAGCTGAAATGTTCTCCTCATATATTCTAGAACATTTGTGGTAGGCACACAAGACTTCACACAGATGTCCACCAAAGGCTTCTGCCGCTCACGCTTTTTGAATTTTTTGAATCGGTGGAGTACTTTTCGAATGGTGATGAGAAGTTTGACAGGTCCAATTTCACTTCTGAAGGACAGATTTACAGACCTCTCAGTAATAGGAGTACAGCTGCATGTCTCCAACAGCCGGGGGGAAAGGCGGGAAAACAGTGCTTCTCTCTGATTGGCTGAGAATGTTCAACCATTTTCTGTCCAAGCAGGATCGAGCACCCACACATATGATACATCAAATCGACCGGCTTGGTCTCAGGAATCTTGAAATACATTTTAAATGTGTTATCTGTCACCATGGTAACAAGCTTAGCAACAACATTTCATACATTTTGGACACTACTGTAGTAAAGTAATTTAACATACAAACATTAATTAAATTTTAAAAAGGTCATGGCACATTGAACATAAGTATATTGATGTAGATTTCTGTCATCTGTTACCATGTTAACGCAAGTGCATAAGGATATCCCCTAACATGTCGCATTGAAATGAATGTGAAAAGCCTAATATTGAGCCTATGACATACTGCTGTTTCTTATCTTTCTGAGCTCTATGCACTTAAAACTAGCAGCATAGCTGACATTTTAATGCTTGTCAGAAGGCAGGAAAGGCCCCTCCTCCTTCGCTACTCTCTGATTGGCTGAGAGTTTTCAATCATCTTCTGCCTAAAAGGAAATATGCACCCCCACATATGATACATCAATTGAACCTGCTTGGTCCCAGGAGTCTTGTATTAACTTGATTTTGTGTTCTGCGTTACCATGGCAACGTGCTTAGCAACAACATTTAATAACATTTTAGACACAACTGTATCAACATACTTCAATATAGAAATGTTGTTCAAAGTTTAATAGAGTCATGTGACATTGTACATTGCTTTGTTAAAGCAGACTCCTGTCATCTGTTACCATGGCAACACAAGGAACTACAAATCACTTTAACCAAGTCTAATAGGAATGAATATAAAAAGCTGAATATTGAGCCAATATCAGACTTCTGTTTTTGATTTTTTTTTAACTATCTGTACTTATACTTAGAAACAAGTTAAATTTGATTGATCGTCAGAAGGTGGCAAAGTGCCCCGCTCCCTCCCAGCTCCCTGATTGGTTGAGAGAGGTTAATCATCTTCTGGCTAAATGGAATTACACACCCACACCTGTGAGACATCAAATCGATTGGCTTGGCCTAAGGAATCCATCCATCCACATATAAATCCATACATGCATCTATCCCATCAATCCATCCATCCAATAAATCATCTAACATCCATCCAACAATCCATCCATCATTTCATTCATCCAACCATTCATACATCCCATATCAAGTCTGAACATATGATAATCTATCAGTTTCAGATATTAGCAAATGTTTCTAAATTCACAGTTAGGCCAATTGTAAAAATGTACCTATTAAACTATTCTCATTCAAATACCAGCTGTTTAAACATTTCAAAATTCGAGTTTTAATCAATGTTCAAAAATTAAAGTTTTCTGCTGTTTAGCATTTTTTGTCCATTCTTCACCTATATTCTGAGCTTTATTATACTCTTTGGTGATTTTTGCTTCTAAATCTTTAAATACATTCAGCTCATTTTGACAGTTTAGCTTAGTTTCAGCTTCACTTCAGCTATTCAGCAGCTTCAGCAGTTTCTGAATTCAGCATATGATGCTAATTTCACAGTTCAGCTAAATGTAAACATTAAACTGTTAAACTAGTCCTACTGAAATAACAAGTGATTAGACATTTTAGCTGTCCAGATTTTTAAACAATGTTCACAGATTTCAGTTTTCTGCTGTTTAGGATTAGTTTTCTTGAGTCTTCACTTACTTTTGTGCTTTATTTGCTTGTTGGTGCTTTTTGCTTTCACATCTTTCATTATATTGAGCTCATTTTCCAAACACACCCACATCACCCCGCTTCTCCTCCAGCTTCACTGGCTGCCAGTCAACTTCAGGGTTCATTTCAAGATCCTGGTTCTGGTCTATAGGGCCTTACATGGACAAGCACCATCTTAAATTGGTGATCTTCTTAGTCCCTACACCCCCCGCAGGTCCCTGAGGTCTAGTGAGGTCAAAGCCTAATGGTTGTGCAGCGCCAGGCTAAAGACCAAAGGTGACAGATCATTTGCTGCTGTGGCCCCCAGACTCTGGAACTCTCTCCCACTGAGCCTGAGATCAGTGGACTCAGTGGACTCCTTTAAAAAGCAGCTGAAGACTCATTTGTTCAAGCTGGCTTTTGTATGACCTTCTTCACCACACTCTCTTTATTCTGCTCTCCCCACCTATTCCACCTTCCTCAGGATCCACTGATTTCCCTCTTTCCTATTCACTCTCTCTCTTTCTTAACATTTTTTAATCACAATTGCCTATTTTTGCTCATTTTAAATATATTTTTAAACATTTTCTAAATGCTTTTTTATATTTTTACATTTTTTGTTTTTGTGAAGCGCCTCGTGATTTTTATCTTGAGAGGCGCTATAAGAATGATATTTTCTTTTTCTTCTTCTTTTTCTTCTTCTTCTTCTTCTTCTCATTTGCCAGTTTAGCTTAGTTTCAGCTTCACTTCAGCTATTCAACAACTTCAGCAGTCAGTAAAAATTTTTTAGCATAAGCTGCTAATTTCACAGTTCAGCTAAATGTAAAGATTGAACTGTTAAACTTGCTCACCTGAAATAACACGTGTGTAGACATTTTAGCTGTCCAAATTTTTATACAATGTTCACAGATTTCAGTTTTTTGCTATTTACGATTATTTTTCTCCATTCTTCACTTACTTTTTGTGCTTTATATTAGCTTGTTAGTGCTTTTTACTTCTACATCTTTCAATAAATTCAGCTCATTTTGACAGTTTTGCTTAGTTTCAGCTTCAGTTCAGCTGTTCAGCAGCTTCAGCTTACAGTTTCAGCTATCCAGCATTCAAACAGCATTTCTGCAACAAATTCAAATTTTTCTGGTTTACTATAAAATACATTGTAGCCACAGCTGCCCTGTACTTTACTACTATGCCACAATATACTCACATTACCTTACCTAAGAATGTTTGAATTTGACCCAGTGTCTGACCACAAAGCTCATCATGAAACCAGTTTTGGTTTTAATATCGATGTTCATTCATTTTTCTCTGCTTATTTGAGGCTGGGTGGTGGGGGCAGCTGCCTAGACTTCCCTTTACCCAGCCACTTGGGCCAGCTCCTCTGGGGGAGTCCCTCGGCGTTCCCAGACCAGCTGAGAAGCATAGTCCCTCCACCGTGTCCTCGATCTTCCTTTAGTCGCTGGTAGGACTTGCCCAGAAAACCTCACCAGGGAGGCATCCTGACCAGATACCTGAGCCACTTCAACAGGCTCTTCTTGATGTGTAGGATCCGCATGTCTACTCCAAGCCCTTCAAGGATGACCGAGCTTCTCACCCTATCTCTACGGGAGAGCCCAGCCACCCTGAGGAGAAAACAGCTTTTCAATCGCTTGTATCCATGAAATCGTTCTTTAAGTCGCTACTCAAAGCTCATGACTATAGATGAGAGTTGGAACATAGATTCACTTGTAAAATATCAATTTCATTTGTAAATATTAACACGTATTTTTAGCATCACTCTTGGAGACATTTTTCTGATTTTAGCAATATTTTGTGCAAGTTCACGACACTTTTAATGTCTTGATTTCTTCACAGCAGGAAGGATTTAATCGTACTAGAATCATTTCGTCTTAAGAAATCAATCTTGTTTTTCTGAGCTTCTTAATAGTCATCTGGGATTTGGTCTTTGGACAGTTTTGTCACTGGGCTAGATGGCAAGTTTTAATTGATTTTACATGCAGCTCTGAGTTATTATCATAACAATAAAAGGTTTAAAGTTTCTTAATTTTCCAAAAAAGATAATTTAAAGAGAGAAAAGAATTGGACTAAGCATTGAACCCTGTGGAACTCCATGATTAAGTCTAGTACAGGACCTGAATTGGGTACAGCACCTAGAATCCTAGAACCCTTTTCAACACAATCAGTACACACCCCCACCCCCACCCCCACACCCCCACCCCCGTCTCTCCGACCACCACCAGCAATGTGGGTCAAGTGTCTTGCCCAAGGAAACAATGACAGCGACAGACTGAGTGGGACCAGGCCCCCACAATGCGGCTTTAAAATAGAGTCAAACCCGGAAGTACCAAAAATTGCAGTTCCACCCTCATCCGCTGGGGGCTGGTATCAGAAGCGAGCAAATCCTCATTGACTCCCATGTTAAAAATGCCAATTTCACAGCAGAAATAAACATATTTACAGCATGGTACCAGAACATGTTTTTTGTTTAAATTATCTCGTTTACACTCATGACAACTCTGAGGGGGGTGAATTTTTTTCTCACTCTTCTGTTTAAGTGTATTGAAAGCCTAAAATTCTGTATAATTAATGAGCATCCGACCCACGTGACCGCATAGCTAGCTCAGTGGAAAGGCCTCAGTCTGGCTTGGAAACTGCTCCGGGATTTTGAGTCTCTGTGTTTGTGTATTCTTTTTTGGATGTTTTTTATGCAATTGTTGGACAAAATGACTTGCTGTGGCATTAATTGCACTAATTGAGCGTCCAAGGAGTCTCCACTTCATTTTTTTCGGTAAGTAAAATTATATTTATGTATTTTAGGTCACTGCCGAGCTGAGCTTAGATTTTAACATGTACTGTTTAACCATGAAATTTAAATGTAATAGGGTAAATCCCAGTGCATTTAACATAATGCTGCACTTTAGAAAATGGGTTGAAATATAACATGTTGTGGAGCTGGGCTCCGACTATCGGCTTGTGGAGCTCTCGGGAGACCAATGTTTTCCACCCGGAATGCCGGCTGTTTCTCCCAGCAGCCCAGTCCATCTCTGTCTGATCCCGGCTCCTTAGCTGCGTGGGCTGACGGCTGGTTCTCCCAGCAGCTCGGCGCATCTGTCTGATCGCGGTTTCTGTGTGCTGTGGCGGGCTGACGGCTGGTTCTCCCAGCAGCTCGGCGCATCTGTCTTATCGCGGCTTCTGTGTGCTGTGCGGCTGCCGGCTTGTGGAGGTCCCCGAGACCTCTGTGTTCCACCCGGTTTTACCCAGCAGTCAGCCCGGCGTATCTCTGACTCAGAAGCTCTGGTGTGGTGCACAGTTAACTCCGGTTGTAACTAGGTTGCTACCTCCGTTAGCTTAGCTCCCACCTCCGCATTAGCTTTGGGTTAGCTTCAGGTTAGCTTGTAGCTAGTTCGACCGGGTGTCGTCAGTTGATCCCAGCCTTAACAGCCCCACCCTCAGCTCCTCCTCTGTTCCCTTTTTTGGAATTGTCTGGGCTTGATAGAACCTGTGACACGGTCAAAATGGCGGTGGTGGCCACCTCCCATTTGGCCTCAAAAAAGTGATATTGGAGCCTATGGAAATTAATTGTCCAGTACATATGTCGATGAGTGGGACTCGAAACTGTAACCTGATTATGGGGCGGTCACATAATTACCGTGCCTTCAATTCAATTCAGAAATACTTTATTAATCCCAGAGGGAAATTTATTAAAGTCTAGCATAAAAGCAAAACTTAGATTTTTCTTCAATTTTAATCACTTTATCTAAAGTCCGCAATGAAATAATGTGATAGAAATTGTTTAAAGCATCAAAGCCAAACTCGTGGACACAAGACCCTTTGACATACGTGTTATAAGATCTTTTATGATAGTTGTTTCTGAGCTGTAATTTGAAATTCCTTAGATTCTTTTGTGAACAGAAACATATCCGCAACTTCTAAAAGTTGGGATAAAAATGGGAGATTATATCAAATTTGATAATTAGCTAAAATATACAAATCCAGTAAATGTTTCTTAAAAAGAGGTTTAATTCAACTTTGTATTACATAATCAATTGACAAAACCACCTTTTTATAAGACAACAAAATTAATAGCAAATCCAAAGTGTGTGTGTTTGTATGTGTACTGACCTAAGTCGATATCTGCAAGATTCTGCATGCTAAGGTTGGACAAGCAGCTGCTGACACGGTTTCGGATCCATGTCGTCGGCTGAGAAAGACACGCACTGGCATTAGTCTCCAAAAATAAAACCAACTTTAATTCCTATTTACTCTTCAGGGTGAAACACTGACCACATGTTCATCTGTGTGGGTTTTACCTCTTCCTCCTGGGAAATGAGAATTTGTCCATTGTCAAGGCAACAGTTGCTGATGTCCCATAAGGGGACTTCCTGCGGTGGGACCCACTCTAATTTTGGAGGCTCAGTTGGGACATTTGGTGTTCGTTCCGATTTTCCCAGATCTGAAACAGATGCATTCATTTATTTTCAATTGGAGGATGAAACACGTTAAAAATGCTCTAAACTGATAAAATAATTTTTCTCACACTGAAGAGCTGAGAGTTTATTTCCTGAGCAGTTTCACACATTCAGGCAGTTTTATTTTTTCAAAGGTCTTGTTCCCTGAGAACCTGTGACACGCTTGTTCTTTTTGAAACATGATTAGCCACTCTAAGTTGCACATGCATGCTGGATGTGATCATATTCTTCAACCCCCGTCGCCTGCATTAACCGGAGAAAGGAAATAGACTGAAAAACGATTGCGTCACACACAAAGTCGGTCTCTTCTAAGTTTACCAAAGGTTATAAATGAATATTTACATAATCTGCTCTGGATTTTTGGACACTGGATGTGTTTTAAGATAGCAACTTTATGCTTTGATCTTGATTTAATTTGGACTAGTCAATAGTTTTGAAGAGCATCAGCTCTATTTCTCCAAACAGAGGCCTTGTTTTTTTTTTGTGACCAAGAAGGAACAAACTGCTTGCTTGCAATGTACAACTGCTGCCACTAGAGGTCGCTACATCATGTAACACCCTCATTTGGACTCAGCTGCTTTCCATTTCCTCTGTTAGCAGCTAACAGGTGCAGTCATGTGCTAAACATGGCAGATTGTACCTTTTAATTTCAAAGTACTGTAGGAATTACTTACGTTTCTTCTTCATTGATTTCCTTCTTAACTGTACAATTTTTGTTTGTAGATCTGGGCCAGTGTAGGTGTGTTGGGCCTGTGTCCAGCACAAAAAAAATCAAATATTTTTCCTGTAGGTAGTTTTTTAATTAAAATAGAAGTTTTATTGTGGTTGTTGAGAAAATATGTGCGATATACAAAAATTCGGGTTTTGCTGAAATTATTTTTGTTTTAGAAGAAGAGAAAATAATCAAAACATCTGCAGAAATCAAAATTTTCTTCTGTTTCTGAAAGAATGACTGCAGCTGTTGTGCAGGAATGTGGGACGAAGATTCCTCTTTCGATGTTCTTTCTCAGGACTCAGTGTTCACCACAGTCTGACCCCAAACAATGCCCCTTTATTCAGAAAATTACTTTCATAGAAGAGTCATGGCTTTAGTTTAGTATTAGTTTATTTTCTTTAGCTGTAAATAATTCGAAAAGATAAATATTTACCCACATCAGATGTACAAATTGTTGCAGGAAAGCATTTTGTTACCAGCCCAGTCATTCTCCTAATCTGACAGTGTTCCGTTAGCTTTAGCTTAGCATAAACAATGTAAGTGAATGGTAACAGCAGCATTTTGTGTGAATTTTTCTTGGTGATCTCAATTATATCAACTGCAAATTAAACTAATAAGTAACACAAAGGAATTACAGGAGCCGATTTAGACTTGGGAGTACATTTCAACAAAGCACCGTTGTAAGCCAACGTTGCATGATGCACGTGGCCACGAAATTGATCTATCTCTGTCACGTATGCCGCCATTTTTAGGCTTACCATGCTGTTTCTTCAAAGATTTGTCCAGGATAAAAGCCTAGTCACACATCTGTGTTTACGGAAGTGAGTCTCATTTTTAAATTTAGTGATTGAAATGCTAACTGGTACTGTCCATGTTCATTGTTTATGCTAAGCTAAAGCTAACAGAATACTGCCAGATTGCAATGACTTGGCTGGTTACAAAGTACTTTATCCAAATTGTCTAATTCTGGGTTGTATGGCAACAGACTAATTTTCACTTTGGGGTGGAATATCCATTTAGTCCTAAATTGTAAAAATCCCATTTATTCAAGCAGAGGCTGTTCTGGAAGCAAAAATGCAAAACTTTAAACAGAAAAATACGTCCGATGGCTTTTAAGTCCCTTTTTTAACAACCATTTAGAATTTGCACCTGTTTTTAAGGATTTTATTGTCAAATATTCAAAATTAAACATATTAAGAATCAATTAAACAAGGACAAAGTAATGAAATTTGTTATTTCTGCTTGTGGACTCGTGTGTATTAGCTAATGAACACTTTTGAAGGAAGAAGTTGACACTGTTTATGAATTTTAGTCCTAACTCACTTTATTGTGTTAATTTTTGAATTAATAACTTCCACATTTTACTTGAACCTTAAGTCAACAAGTCTTCAGTTTCTGTAAATATTTTTCTGTAAAGTTTAAGTTCCTCTCGACCTTCTCTCGGCTGATTAGCTCCTCGGCTCGGTGTTTAAACATCACCTCTCTGTGGAAAGGCTACCGCGCACCACACCAACAGCAGCTCTGACATGTGTCTACAGGAAGTTAGTTTAACCACATTCAGTCAACATTTTGTGGCCTGAAAATGTTTGTTAGTTACACCTTTGCATTCAAATTTCACAAAACACAATGTGCTGCTAATCTGATGATCTGCGCTGAGGTTTAAGATGAACACAGAGTTGTGTTTTTTTTTTTTTTTTTTGCATGTTTTGAATTTCTGATCAGATTTTGTGCCGTTACCTTGAAGTAAAGCTGAAGCGCTGTTACGGCTCTGCAGCCGGGGCCTCTTGAGTTTCTGGGTCACGTTCCACAGGTATTTTTTTAGGCCTCCTTTCTGTGAAGGGTCGATGGAGGACCCCCCTGGGGCATCTGCAGCTGCTGCAGATGAGGATGAAGCTGCTTGAGCGGAGTTGAAAGAGCTGGAGGATGGAGTCAGGGCTGAAAAGAGCGATCCAGGAGGCTCAGACAGGGCCCGTCTGAATGGGTTCTTCTTGGTTCCCCCGGCCCCTTTATCGGGTTTGGGTCCCTCTGCAACTCTAGTGCTGGGTGCATTTTTGTCTCCAGTGTCCTCGCTTAGAGCTTTGCGCCAGTTTTGGACCTTGCTCCATTTGTTGCTAGAAGCTTTCTGAATTTTATCGATTGTAGAGTTGGAGGACGCTGCACCTCTGTCTCCATCTTCTTTGGCATAATTGAGCGTTCCCTTGGAGTCAGTGTGCCACTTGTAGGTGTTGAGGGGGTCGGCGGTCTCAGATGTTTGAGGGTGTTCAACAGGAGGATCCTTTTCCTTCTTGGGTGATCCCTGCTCCTTTGATGGAAGATGTGCAGCGGGCTCTAAATCTTTCTCCTCAGTGCCCATAGCCAACCTTTAGAGTTTCTTAATGAATTTCTCTCAACTCTAGCTTCTTTTACCTAACCTCATGAGATCCTGCTTGTAATTTACAGCGATCTTCGGTTCAGTCCTCTCTGCTTCTACCTCTGCTCTTCTCTCACTTCCTGTCTTTCAAAAAACATCATCCGGCAACAACATGCAAGAAGCTGCTCTGCCTGTGGTTGCTCTGCAGCAGGATTCAGCTTTACCTCATTCTCAGTTTGCTTCCTCATCAACTGACACCGAGAGGCTCTCTTATTTACAAAAATAATGTTGTTTTCATCCAAAACTTCCCCCCTCCTCTTCCTGTTCTGCTATCAGGTTTTCCATTTAAAAAAACACCTAACCACAGATTATCTTAAAACCTAAAGTCAAACTTCCAAATTTATTGTAAATAGTTTACAACTTTACCTTAAAGGAAATTAGTTTGTCTGTTTATATATATATGTATAATTTATTTATTTTTTTGAGAAATGTGATTTTATGTGTTATTTACTCATCAGACCCTTGCAATAAAGAAAATCTGCTGAAACATTTAATGACTGGATGAATCTAATAGCAAAAATTCCAGTTTGAGAACTGGGATTTATGTCTTTATGTTTATTACGTCATGTTTGCTGATTAAAACATGTTTTCCTGTCTTGTAATCATACGTGACCTTTGGCAGTGATGTTTAGAATCATTTGGACCAGAACCAGGTTCAATATTTATCAGAAAAAACAACAACATTCCTGTTGGCATCCCTTTGTCTCAGGCTACCTGTGGGTCTGTGGACTATTGACTGTTAAAATCAGTTTCCTGTCAGAGCGACTCTGAACTTCCTGCTCAGATCTCTGTCACACTCTGAAAACCACTTCCTGTTCTCTTACTGCTCTCGGTTCCAACACACCTGCAGGATAATTCTGTGTCCAGTCAGCGCCAATGACACAGCTGCAATCAATTGCTCTGTTGTTTGGGTTTGGAGAGTGGAACTCGATCTATAAACAACCATCCCTGATTTATGTTTTTTTTATTTAAAGTTGCATTTTATTTACGTCCCTCCTTTAGCTTTCTTAAAATAATAAAGTGTATCAATATAAAGCTGTTATTTGATGTCAGAGGTACAGACACTAAACCCTAGATATTCTTGTATAAATGAGAGGTTTGTACATTTTCATTAATTCGTAAAATGCTATTAAAACAGGTAGAATTTGAGTAAAAATGCAACAGACTTAAATAAAACTGATTAGGTTTGATTATATAACTAGTAGGGGTAGAAATTTAACATGTTAATGACGAATAATTAATTAGAAAAAAATAAAGCAATTAAATTTTATCTTTGAGCCCGACCACCCCACCAATTTGGGGCAAAAAGTCCATCCATCCATCCATTTTCTGAACTCGCTTTGTCCACGCATGGTCGTGGGGGTGGCTGGTGCCTATCTCCAGTGGTCAACGGGCAATCAGGCGGGGTACACCCTGGACAGAGAGCCAGTCCATCGCAGGGCAACACAGAGACACACAGGACAAACAACCATCCATGCACACACACACACACACACACACACACACACACACACACACACACACACACACACACACACACACACACACACACACACACAAGGACAATTTAGACAGACCAATCAACCTAACAGTCATGTTTTTGGACTGTGGGAGGAAGCCGGAGTACCCGGAGAGAACCCACGCATGCACAGGGAGAACATGCAAACTCCATGCAGAAAGATCCCAGGCCGGGAAGCGAACCCAGGACCTTCTTGCTGCAAGGCAACAGCTCTAACCAGGGGGCAAAAAGTCTAACATCAAAATGAATGCCCAATGTATTAATAAATATAATCAAGCTGCACCTCTAACAAGACTGCATAGCCTGGGATACAAGACCATATAAACCTTTTTTTACGTTCTTCCAACCACAACTAAAACTACAATTAAAGTAATCATAACAAATTGCTCTTTGTGAAAAAAAGAAAGGAAGAAAAAATAAAAAAAATTTACTGCTATGTTTTCTAGTTGGTAGTAAGCAGGCAGGCAGTAACTTTATGAACTTTATTACAGCAGGAGGAACAAGCATACACACAGCATTCATCTTGTAACCCTCAGCAGAACTTCCCCAGAACTCTACACTAGCAGAGTACTGCTGCCACCTAGTGTTCAGTTCAGTACACCGCATGTACATATTCACTATCAATAACTCATATTCTAATATTTACACATCCCAACAAATCATACAGTGGTTAACTTTACAATGAAATCAAAGTAAAAAAGCAGACTTGTGGTCATAGAACCTCAGTGGCCTATGAGTGTCCACCCTGGGACTGGCAGATCGGGGCTCAAATCCTGGTCAGGTCATACCAAAGACTGAAAAAAAAAATGGTACCCAATGACTCCTTGCTTGACATTCAGCATTAAGGGGTTGGATTGGTGGATTAAACCACCAAATGGTTTATGAGCGCAGCTGAGTCTGCAGCTCACTACTCCCCCAGGGAATGGGTAAATTTCACCAGTGTGTGTGACAACTAGTGGGACTTTGAATTTTAAATGTGGGTAAGTCAACTGTGCCTCACTAGCGTTGTTTTTAGCAGCTTTAAATCTGATCCTCAGATGGTTTCAGAGCATTTCACATCTTCAGGGATGGGATCAAAACATCTAGTATGTTGATCAAGACAACAAAGACCCTCAGAAGGGAGGATTTGTAAGTTACTTGCATTAACAAAGAACTCACAAAATAGTTTAAAGGTTTGAGACTTTGTACTAATAAAAACACTCATCAGATAGTAGCAAAAACATGGTTAAAAATTAAGAAGCTCTGAAAATCCATTTCTCCAGGAAAACGCTCCTGCCCCACTTGAGGGATCCAAAGGCATTTCCGGGGTCAGCGAGAATCCTAATGAGATGTCTAAGTCCCCTCAGCTGATTTTGTTTGATCTAGAAGAGTAGTGTCTCCACCCAGAGCTCCTCCTGAATGTTAGTGGAGCATCTTCCGCTGCATCCGCAAAGCCACCAGCATTGTGGCTGATTGGTCACACCCCTTTCACACACTCTTCACACTCCTGCCATCTGGAAGAAGGTACCGAAGCATTCGAGCACACACATCCAGACTGTGCAACAGCTTCTTTCCACAAGCCATTCGTCTCCTCAACAAAAAGGGACTGGACTGATAAACGCGCGCATGCGCACACACACACACGCACGCACACAAACACACACACACTCTATCACTAAGCTCAACTCAACTACCTCAAAGCATGGAGGCTGGACTTATATATTAACCTGTTAATGCTTTATTTTTGCATGTTTACTGTTCCTTCACTACCTACATACTAAGTATGTTTACGGTTTTCCTTTGTACTGCCTACTTAGAGAGGTCATGTCATATCAGGTCAGTCTGTTCTGTCCTTAATTAGATAGTGTAGTGAGTTCCCTGTTATTTTATGTTGTAAATTTATGTCACATGTAGCACCTTGGTCCTGGAGGAACGTTGTTTCGCCTCACTGTGTACAAACTGTATATGGCTGAAGTGACAATAAAGTCCAATTGATTGATTGATCTTGTTAAGAACCAGACACCCAGTGGAAGCTCATCAGGTGCTTGTATTTGGGATCTCATTGGTTATGTTTAGTTTGTGTTACCAGTGGTGATGACAAGTCTTTAAGCTCAGAGCAGAGCAGTGCCTCCATCACCACAGACGAAGCTCTGACTAGATTTTTGATGTCTGAAAATTCAAGCTGAAGCTTTATAATAAATAACAAATAATGGGGGGGGGGGGGGGGGGGGGGTTTAAGATGTCTGAATACTTGTCACAAGTTCAGTTCACGGAAGGAGCTTTCGTCATCAGCTGATTCTAGCAGCATCCTGTATCAGCTTGTCCTCCACTAGATGGCTACAAAGCCTCACACACACACACACACACACACACACACACACACACACACACACACACACACACACACACACACACACACGCGCACGCACGCACGCGCACACACACACACATACTATGCCAACAATGAAAAAAAGTGATAACACATAGGTATGGGACCATTTTGTCAAAAATAAATCATGAGGGATCGGCTCTTTTTGTGAATCAGTTTACATACTAATTCAGTAAAAATCAGATTCTAACATCATTATTAATCACCTCTTGAGTAAAATTAAGAGTAATGTATGAGTTTGGCACTGATCATACTTCTCAGGCTGCGCAATAAACCTGTAAGGCAATGCTCAGGGAAACCCAACACAGCTTGTGTTCTTTTGTTGTAAGACATTTATATGGCTTGTGAGTTTGATTTAGAAATAATTAGCCTTGTATTAAAGTTTTATTATCAGTCTGACAATTTTTTTATAATCTTAAAAAAACATGGGATAAATGACACTTTTGACTAATTTTCCATTTATTTTAAACTTTAATGCACATCAATAACACTGACGTTCTGGAATAATCTGAATTGTAATTGTAATAATAATCTTAGTTGTGATGTATACAATCTGCTGTGCATGTCTTCCTTTAGTTTAGCAGGGCGTTGTTTGTCTGTTTCCTGAAGGCTGTTCATCGTGCAGTTTGATCTTACTGTTTCGTGGAAGTGTCTCTGCATGGCTCGTTGAAAAGTGTGATTTGAGGGATTGTGCAAATCATTTTTGATGCAGATCAAAAATAAATTTGCCTTTATCTCGTCCCTCTTTGTGCACTTGTTTTTGAATAGTTTGGATTTAAACAATAATGCTACTTCTGGATTTCTGCCCAGTTTGATCTCATTATCTCCTTTTGAATGTTCAGTTCTCAGCTGTTTTTCTTCTCTGAGCCATGTGAGCTCATGCTGAAGCCACACACAGCTGCTCAGGACGTTCAGCAGCAGCCAAGTGTCCCATTTCTCATCCAGCACGGATGGACTCAGTTTACATCTGAGACTGTACCCGGTTAGGCCAACATCACACCGGATACATGGGTTTCCAGCTTTGTGGCACATTGAAATATGGATGCAGAGCTGTTTTCCTTTCCTGATGAAATGTCAGATTGCAAATTCCATCATGATGCGATGCAGCTTTTGACATTTGGGGGAAAAGGCTTTTCACATTTGTACTTTGTTTGCTGGAAACATACGATATTAATCTGCGGCTGATCCGGTTGCATAATAAAACAGCAAATCTGTGCACACTTTTTTATTTTATTTTAAATCAGCCACATAGTCAACGCAATGTTCTGCGACCTCGGAGCCTAATTAAATGTTGGAATGATGATTTGCTGCGCCTGTCCT